ATGCAAGACATAGAAGGTATTTAATTTATGCATAGGGGTAAAAATGTCGAATTTTGACATTTTTGCAACTTCTTAAAAAATGTGACATTTTGGTACAAACATGATAGCAAAATGACATTTGGTGTAATTTCCTCTTAAAAATAAATAATCAACTTCACATATGACCAATGATATGAGGAACCATTTGAAAAATTAATCTGTAAAAAAGAAGGAAAATTTTATTTGTGACAACCTCGGTTGACAATCTCTCACGTGTGTGCAGGGTTCGTATATTTAAAAAATTCACAAAAAAAAAAGTGGACCTTCCATGTGAGTAGTTGTCAACCTCGATTGTACAACTAGCATGACTCAAAAAAGAATTTTGTAGCCGTCCCAAGTAACCCGTCTAATTGCCCTAAGAGTCTTGGCAACTTATTTGTTGACAGTCATGATGGCTAAAGCAAGTGGTCATGTAGAGCGGAACCTAAATGCATTGAATGTACAACTAACATGGCTCGAAAAAGAATTTTGTACCGTCCCAAGTAACTCCGTCGAGTCTTGGTAACTTATTTGTTGACAGTCATGATGGCTGAAGCAAGTGGGTATGTAAAGTGGTACCTAAATGCATTGAATTTGAACATTAAAAGTTTGTCCCTTGGGCCTTTTTGGTGGGTTTAAAATTAGATTTTTTAAGTATATTTTGATAAATTTAATGAAATACGTGGTTTAAAAATTGTGAATCTCATAAAATACGTAATTTAAATTAATTATTGATTTTAACTTAAATTAAATTTTAGATTTTAATCTCTACTAAAGAGAGGCTGAGCTCCGTTTTATGTATACTAAAATCAATTTTTTAGTAAATTTTAGTCTCTGTTTGTTTCAACTTCTTTCCCCATTAATAGAAAAAATAGGACTGTGTTTTTCAAATTTGGTGGGTCCCAACTAAACGCAAATGGTCAAAAATGGTAGGCAGAGCCACTGTTCCAACTGTTCTTTTTCTTTTACTAATGAGCAACAAACAGATGCTTAATATAAATTGATGAAATATGTGGTTAAAAAATTGTGAATTCAATGAAATATGTTGTTAAAAATTGACTTGAGATTACTCCCATTTTCTAAAATTCATTTTTCCTTAAACTTATTTTTAACTATACATTTAATGAGATCCATAACTTTTATCAACTTTTAAACCATATATTTCATCAATTATTATTAAAATATACTAAAAAAATGTTTTTTTTTTNCAATTATTATTAAAATATACTAAAAAAATGTTTTTTTTTTTATCTAAATCAAGCAGGGCTAAAATTACCTTACAATGAATGGCCAACAAGAATTCTTGAAGCAAAATATGACAAAATTTTATGATAATTGTCAATTTATTGCAATCTTACCTTTTATATTCGGACTTTAAACTAGTTATTATAGGAAAACGTCGGAGGAGTTTAGGACGACTGTTGCAGTGAGCTATTGCAAATAGCATTATTCTTTTTTACATTGCTGGCTAATTAAGGTTATTACTTTTACTTAATTGTTTTCAAACATGTTATTTATTTTTCAGGAAAAAAAATACTTATTTTAATTGCAATTCTTATTTTACGTTGTAAATTGATAATTGATTTATTTTCAAATTTGATCAATAAATTATAATTCATTTTCAAACTTATTTATTTATATGTATTTTTTACTTATAATTAAATCTTTTGAGATTAGACGAATAGTAAGGGGTTGTTGAAAGCAATTAATAGAGATTTTGAGTTTTTGAGACAATTTCCAATACAAAAGTTATGACATAAACAAATTGGAATACTTAAATTAATTTCGCTAAAAAAAAAAAAAGTTAATAGTATACAGCAAACGGTACACACTGAAAAAAAAATATATTCTCAAATTTTATACTGTATTAGAAAGGTAAAGAAAGCCCAAGGTCACTCAAAAATCAAAATATGCTTGTAGTTCATATCTATTTGCACGTCAAGTATCCAATTGATTTCAGTCTCACATTAATTTCCAGGGTGCAATCCATTTCTGTGGATTTCTTTTTCTTCAGTACTTTGAGCAGCTCCACTTTTCCATTCAATTTAGACTTGCTAGTCAAGGTTAATACCCCAGGAATAGGATCAGATCCAAGTTGTGGAGAGTTTTGGACATTGCTTGACGACAAATTCACGATGACATTAAACTCCTTAGTCGAACGAGCTCTGACTCGTGCTTTAGGAACAGAGGCCATCCCAACGCTCAAATCATTGTAGAAGAACTCGATTGTGCTCTCCTGGAACTTATAGTGGCCAAAATTGGTGTTCTTGACTCCAAGTTCAGCATTCATACTTATGTTGAACGAAGTATTAGTGTAATCGAAGGAATAGAATGTTGCAGATCGAACCCTGAACTTTGGTGTTCGTATTTTCATGATAGTCAGGGCAAAAAGCAATATAATAGCGGTTTGAAACACGATAAAGATAGCAATATATAATAAACATTTCATACGCTTCATTTTGCGAGCATCTTTGGAGTGCAATACGGCTGTTTCTTCGTCATGTTTGGTATGACCGTTGGCTTGTGATGTTTGATGAATGTGCTGATCTTTATCTGTCATTTCGATATATTAAGAAAAGATCTCTGGCAACTAGAGATTTTTTCAAAAAAGAAGTTATGGAACAAATTTGACTCGTTCGAGTTTAGGAGAAGATATTTTTGTGAGGAAGGCGGATTTGATGAAGCTATTTATATAGAAGTATAGAATTGTTCTTGTGCCACAAAATGCAAGGAATCCATACTATACATTCAAAGCGCGTGCAATTTAAGTCTCTGGATTATAACGTCTGAACTAATTTTTGACAAGTGAACGCGTGAGGACAATTTTTGAAACTTTTGACTGAATGGAAGCTTCTGAATTTTTACGGTTTTAAGTAAACAAAATTATCATTTGGAGCCCTCCTCTTATTTTAACATAAAATCAGTCCTCATTGTAAGATTTTCTTTTGTTAAAAATTTAACTTTGATTGGCACGTGTTTGACACACTCACAATTTCAAGTAAAATAAAAAAAGGGAGAAAATACATACGAATCTGGTCCAACTCCCCAATAATATATTGGCATTATCTTTAATTTTCAAAAATTTGAGTTACTTATTCTTACGTTTATATTTTATCACCTGGGTGGCAAAACCAACCAATGCGGAGGTGACACCCTGCATTCTGTCACCCAGGTTGTAAATTTAGATGTATACGTAGCATTATCATTCTTGTTCTTTATCTATTAGAAAATTTTCAAAAGATTTCGTGAAACATCAATCAACGTGTGTGAAGAATGAATATACATTTTTTTTTTAATGGAATAAGCACTTTGAATTCCAAGTCAATTGTGTCCCTACAATGTGTGAATTGGAACCATGTTCCTTCTTCTAGATGATGATAGTGATATTCTCTTTTCTACCACTTGTTTGTAAAGTGAGAAATAGGTAGATAAATGACATCTCAATGTATAGATTATAATAAATTACTAAAATATCTTTCACACTTTCCACTATACTTTCTGTCATCATTTTAACTTTCACTCGGATTTCAAAACGGTCACCACACTCCAAATAATTTTCAATTTGTCAATGAACTTCTAAAATGGTTTCAAATCAGTCACTCCGTTAAATTAACTAAAAAGTTGCATACATTTTAGTGTCTGTTTGATTCCCATTAATTGGAAAAAAAATATTAGTTTTGAATAATATTTTTAGGAGAATGTGTGGTTAAAAAGTAGAGAAATTTTTTGGAAGAATACGTAAAATATTTTATTGTGTGAATGTGTAGTTGAAAATTATCTGTAGTAAATTATAAAATAAATTGATGGGAACCAAATGGGCTCTTAACTAGCTTCACTGACGTGTAGTCTAATCAGCCGTTTCAAATTGGTCATCAAACTTTCTACCCGTGTTCAAAACGCTCGCTAACTTGATGATAATCAATTTATAACCTAAAGTACTATGCCGATATGACCGGAGTTAAAAATAGATGGTCATGCCCAAAATCCACTTATGTGAAAGAAAAATGTACAAGATTTGTTTTGATTTGGAATTATGCTCACGCGATCTAATTATTTTTAAAGAACTGTTAAGATGTTGTTCAATTATTTTGAAAAGGCGATAATTATTGTATATCACTTTCACAATCCAAAATAAATCAACAATTCAATCCAATATTCATATGGAAATGAAAAGTCTACGGATTATGCACAATCGTGAAAATTGTAGCGTAAAATACAATAAATTCCGTTAAACGTTCCAATCCATCTAAACTGAAGGTTAGGTAAAATTTTAAATCCAAAAAATATAGGTTTTTGTCATTTGGTAAAGTGGGACTAGTTAAAAACAAATTGAAGTTCAATGACCAGTTTTTAGCAATTGCAATTAGTTTTAATTATACATTTAACAGAACTTATAATTTTTCAATTACATATTTTTTTAATTTTTATCAATATTTACTAAATAGCATTATTTATTCGCTTGTGCAAGTTGGATGACTTTCATTTGATTAGGTTTCGAGTCATCATCAATCGAGTTTCAAAGTTCAATGAATTTGTCACAAAGAAACAAAAGGCTTAATTAATGATAGGGATAATTGCAATAATGGTCTCAAACCTTTCGCTTTTTATAAACTTTACCTCAATCTTAACTTTATGTCAACGACAATCTCAAATCTTTCATTTTGTTGTACCATGGGGACAAATGGATCCTCCATTTTCCTGTTAGTTGACCTGAAAAATAAAAATTTGACCAAAAATAAGTAAATTAGAAAAACCAAAAATAAAATAAAAAATGGAAAATAAAACTCATATTCTTCTTCCACCCCACCACCACAAACAAATCGAAATCGGAAAACCATGGCCCGTCGGTCAGCGGCCACTAGAATGGAACCTAAACCACAAAAAAACTCGAACCAAAATGGAACCCAAATGGAAAAATCTTCTCCAGTGCCAGAGATCTGGATGCTTTTCACTGCAAATAAGAGAGGTTCTTCAAAATCCCTGCTAAATTGCTCAAATTTAAAGCCAACAAGAGGCAAAATGTCCTCCAAAATCTGGCCTTCCCAATCCACGGTGGTGCCACCATCTCAACTTTTCTTTTCGCATTCATAATTGAAATCGTCCTTTGCCTACTCACTATCACCGTCGCCTCCATGAAATGATGACGAGACCACTGGTTTCCACAAATTAATTACAGCAATTGCAATTGATTATATCAAATTAAGGCAATTGTAATTCCAATTGCAATTTATTACAGCAGATTAGAAGATATTGCAATCTGGATTTTATTACAGAAATTAATTCCAACGAATTAAATACAGCAAAATTCATATGAAAGTCCTTCCCAAACCCGGAACTTAGTAACTTCCACTTGTGAATTTCAAATCTAATTGATTGTGCAGAAAAAGTATGGAGACTTATGGAGTCTGAAGAATGTTTACATACAAAACCTAAAACATATGATGAATTTTGATGAAATATGAACGAATTGTCTTTGTTATGCAATAAAATGAAAGGTTTGAGACTATGGTTGGCACAAAATGAAAGTCAATGAATCTGCAAAAAAATAAATGTTTGAGACTGTTGCTGCAATTATCCCTTGATGAATGATGATAAGATAGCATGAACGATATTATTTATGCATTAGTGTTAGTAAAAGTTAATGAATGTGATCCTTTAATCGCTAAAAAATAATAAAATTTCCACTACTCTAACATTGACAATTCTTATCCCCAAATTATAAAAAAATTAGAGTCTGAATAAAATAATATTATTCGCAAATTTAAAAATATTTTCTTTTTTTTAATCATATATTTTTCAAAAAATTATTATTCCTTTCATTTTTTTTGAAGATGAAACGAGTTTCATTGATCATCATAATAGCAAACGGTACAAGGAGGAAAGACCTCCAACACAATGCCCTCCGAAGCGGGATTAAGTGCTACCAAGGCCAAAGCCCAAACTAAAACGATGGCCACGCACGACCAACATAGCAAAGAAAAACACCAACACCAAAATAACCAAGAAAAAACTATACAGACACCACAAGCCCGAACCAACCCAAAACCATAACAGATGCAAAACCATCCAGAAACCAGCTCTTCATCAATCATTCCTTTCATTATAATCCAAAGTAATGGAGTTCAAAAAAGACGCATCATCATCACAAATTATAATCTAGAGAGAGAAGAATGATTAGGGCTGTAAGAGTGTAAAACTACATTTATGACATAAATAACATATTAAAATTTAATTACATGATTAAGCCCATGTTTGCGCTCCATTATATCACATTTCAATAAGAAGAGTAATAATTTTTTTGAGAATGTGCGATGCAAAAAGAAGAATTTTTTTTTTATATTTATGTGTAATATTATTTTATTGAAAAACGTGTGATTGATAAGAAGAGAAAAAATAAATAAATTTTAATTTAATGGGGCCAATCAATGCTAAAATAGTTCAAGAAACTGCTATAATTAACATGAAAGACTACTAGGGGTGGGCGCGGGTCGGTTCGGTTCGGTTCGGTTCGGTTTTTTTCGGTTCCAGAAATTTTCGGGTATTTAGTAAATGGAACCATCGGTTCCAAATAAAATTTTGGAACCGTTCGGTTTCGGTTCGGTTCGGTTCGGTTCGGTTCCGTTTGGTTTCGTACTATAATTAAATTTTTTAACATTTAAAATAATATTACATAAATACACCTAAAAGTAGATACTAATATTAATAACAAAAAGTAGATA